ATTTTATTTTTGGATTTTTTGGGAGTAATTCTCATATAGGGCAAAAATCACGTGCTTACAATATTGAAACCTTTTTTATTAAATCAATTAAAGAAGATGAAGAGATAAATCTTAGTCAAACATAATAAACTCTAGATCTATGAATGAATCAGAACATGACGCATAGAATGAAGTAGATGCGATCAATCTTATTGAGATTTTTCATTTCTTCTCTCATCGATCGATGGAGATGACTGTTGTACATTATCAATGGAGAAAATTGTTTTGCCTTCTTTTCACCGAGAAGATTACATAGGAGAGGAAAGAGATAAAAAGCCTCCCCTCCCCCTCACCCCCCCGCCCCCGGTCTAGGAAGATCCTCTCCCTATATATAGTCATGGAGTCCTCGCTATGTTTTTGGGCAAAGCCCCTTCATACCACGTTCGTTTTTGTCGTTCCCTGAGTATTATTCTTCGACTTAGCGGGCACTGTGAATACGTGATTCGGAGCAAGTCATGGCGTCTTTCTTTACCCTGCCATATGGACGGGGTCTCGATTGGGTTGACCACAGCGGTCAGATTTTGACCAATACAATAAAGATAGAGAGACTATTTCTGATAGACTCTCGGCTCAAGAAAATTCACTTACAACCCAAATAATGATTATAGGTAAATGATGTCGCTTGTGATTTTTTTTTGCATATGCTACCCCCTCAAGTTATGTCATTTTTATAAGTTACGTGTTCAAGCTGTGGAATTAGTTATCAATTACTGATGCTTGCATTACGATAGACTGTCTATATTATACCCCTGGGATGCGACACTTTCTTGGGTCTGATGTGAACGCGGAATGTTTTGTATAGAACTATTTTTTTATTTTTTATTTTTAAATATTGAACATGCTTGGGTTTCTATAACGCTGCTTTATAGATAACTTTTTCAAACAAACCTAAAACACACTATAGATGTGGCTATCATCAACAACCACAAATATGATTAACTTATTCAGGGTCACATGTTTTGTGGTAATTAGCCTCAAAGTCATATATTTTTATTTTTTTGTCTTTCGAAAAGTCACTTTACTTTATCTATTTAACTTTAATTGTCATCTTTACCGAATTTTATATTTTTCATTAAGATTTAATGACGCGACAAATTTTATTTTTAAAAAATAAACCACTTGTCAAGAACATGGACCAATTTAGAACTCAATCCACCCAAACCAACCCAGTACTTGACCCGATCCATCCCTTTTTATTCCTAAATATGAGAAGATGACAGTGAATGAAATATGAGGAATTAAAGCATTTTTAGGAATAAAAAGGGATGGTCGGTTCAAGTACTGGATCGGTTTAAGAGGGTTGGATTCTAAATCGGTCCAGGTTCTTAATTAGTGTCTTAACTATTTTTTCCTTAAAATTAAAGTTGTCAGGTTATTAAATCTCACCAGAAACGGTAAAGGACCAAATATACCATGAGAAAAGTTTTAAATATACAATTCGTTATACTTTGGGTCCAAATATTACCCTGTCATAATAATATTGCAAATATACCCTTCTTTTGTTAAGTTTATTCAAGATGGACATCCAATCCTATGTGACACTGATATTTGATGAGGTGGATGCCACATGACATGCCACCTCAACGCCCTTAATCCATATATAAAAGACTAAAATTTGAAATTACAATATTTTTCATGGTAGCAATAATGGTGGCAATAGTGGAGGGGGAGGAAATTTTAGTGGTAGAAAAAAAATAGAAGGGAGGGGTAAAATGGGTTAGAGGCGCCGAGCTGGCAAGCCATGTGGCATCCACCTCATCAAATGTCAGTGCCATGTAGAATTAGATGTCTAGTTTGGACAAACTTAAGTAAAAAGGGGTATATTTGACCCAATAGTATAACACCAGAGGTATATATGGACTCAAAGTATAACGAGAGATACATTTAAACCTTTTATGATAGTACATAGGTATATTTAGCCCTTTTCCGCACCAAAAAATACAAAATCCGGTGATAACCAATTACCACAAGTTGAATGACTATTCAAACAATCAACTCAGTTGGATAGATATCACTAACCTTAAGAGTTTCATTACACAGATACTAGTTATATGCTCTCTTGATGGTTGGAGTATGTCACCGTCTTATCTAAAAAATTAAACTGTTAGATAGGGAACGCTTTTATTCACTTAATTATGCCTTCAATATTGGCATTTAGATTTGAGAAACTAACAATGTACTAGTCAGTGGGGGAAAACCAATCTGTCAACATAGAAGCACATAACATTACTTAACTCAGAACAACAACAACAATAATATACCCAGTGTAATCCCACAAATGGGGTCTGGAAAGAGTAGTGTGTACGTAGAAAAGCTGTTTCCGATAGACCCTCGGCTCTAAGAAAAAAAAACAAAGCAAGTTTGAGAAAAAAAACAGTAGTGCGGATGTTGGAAATACTGGAGAAAAGAAACTGTAACGACAGCAAAACAATAAGATAACCGACGCCAAAGGAAACAACAGGATAGGACTTTGCATAACTCAAAACTGGCAAAATTGTTAGCCAACCTGTGGCAACACTTCTTTCATCTATGCATTCAACAACTACACATCAACAAATTCCCAAGCACACTGGATCGGAAATATGAATCTTTCATGTCCATTAAGCTCTTCTCAATCACGATATCATACAAAATTAACAAAAAAAAAATTCAGTAAAACACTCTAGAAGTTCTCTATATTTTCTACTAACCGGACTAAAAAGATCATAGAAAACATCCGAAACCTATTCAGTAATGTTTGAGTTGTGTAAACTACCATCCTTTTGTATAGAAAATTTCAGGTTTAGCTATTGGATGTATCTCAATCATTTCATCGCATTCTCTCTCTCTCGTGGAAACAATCTCTTGCAGAAATGCAGGGTAAGGCTGTGTACAATAGACCCTTGTGATCCGGCCCTTCCCTGGACCCCGCACATAGCGGGAGTTTAGTGCACCGGGCTGCCCTTTTTTTGTCTGTCTTTAATTAACCAAACTGCAGAATGAGTGAGCTATCAGGTATTACCGAGGGGAATAAGAAGTGTATGTGCTATATCAGGTTGTATGCTGGCAGATCTTCTATTCTTTGTATATCTTCTAATGATAATTCCCTCTCTAATTGCGTCCTTGTCGCTTGCAAAACATCCTGAAGGAATAAAACAAAAACACTTTCGTAGAGTGTAGAGGAAAAGTTAGCTAACATATTGTGCGACATTCTTTTCTGTTTTAGATCTACATTTACCTTCATTTACAGATCATAGGACTAACTCTTTATGCTAAACATGACTGTTTTCCGGACAAACACAGTAAAAAAGAATAATATTGAGTAAAATCACTAAACTTTGGAACCCTTCATTTCCTATATCAGTTTAGCAAAGGGCGTTCTGATGCGAATGCACAGCAAAGTTCTATACCTATACCGTCCTTATTTAGTGAAGTCACACAGAAATGAAGTTGTGTTTGAACTAAAGGACCTGTATGTTTAATGCTCTCTCCTAAATGATAGTGTTAAATCAAAAAATAATCAGCATTATAATTTTCTAAAAAGAAGTGCGATGGGATTAATCTTAATTCATAAGCTCATGACATGTTCCTCCATATGGTCCACACGTGTGTGAGAAATGGAAGGGCGAGAGCAGGGGCGCATATAGGGTAATAGATACAATTTCAGCCGAACCTAGTAACTTTAGCTTATATCATGTATATGTGTTAAAAATCCACTAAATTGATACAGATAACTTGAACTCATAAAGTTCAAATACAGAGAGAGAGAGAGAAGTATACCTTAAACTCCATATATGAAGCACACATAGCCAGCCACTGCGCATCCATCATCGCGAACGCTATACAGTATAGAACATCAAATGCCTCGTCATCCTCTGCATTATTTTTTAGCGAAAAAGTTCATCTAGAAAGCACCCTGATTCAGTACTTAGGTTAATTTTCTATCTATATGACTGGCTTACCTCCTAATAACTTAACGAAATTAATTCCCGGTAGACACTTCGGCTTTTCTGTAAGAGAAAAAGAAGAAAATCAATTCCGGTTCAGAATGGAGAGGAAAATATTAGCAAAATGTATAATTTGAGACAATAAAGAATCATAAAGAATAATATTTGAAAGCAGATGAGATTGTTCTTAATTAGTATAATCGCTTAAAACGTTAGATCACCTGAGTATAAGTCCAGCATCTGAATCAACATGAATGAAACATTAATCCCAGCAACTGCAAATGGATACTCCCACGTTGCCCTCGATCCACTTCGTTTGAAAAGCAACCTATGAAAACAAGCCTTGATTTTGAATATATGTAATTAGTTATGACTTATTATGCCACAATCATACTATGAAAACTTATCCTACTGAGCAATTTAAGCTCTTTGCAGAACAGCCAAACGATCATACCGGATATCTTGTTGCAAAAAACAGCAAATTCTCGAGTGAAATAAATCCACAACCCCTACAACAAGATGATTTCTCAAATGAGATAAGTACTTTAGATAACTAAAGTAAACTAAGTGTCAGAGGTTGGGGAGATATTGGAGATATACATTGGAACACAGATCTCGGCTTTTTTTAAAAGTGAATAAGAATCAAAGTGAACAACGCCAAGAACTATATTTTCCTGATCCTTAGCTTTCTACTGGTGTCATAGAAGTGCCACTAGACGAGTGTCGCAAATGAATAGTTGGATACTTTTTTCTCTATAGATGAACAAGCAAACTGCTACATTCTAATTATCGCAGTTGACCTGCGGAAATGAATCACCTCTTGCCAAAAGTCTTATACATTTCTTCCGACGATAAAAGTGAGAAAAATTATTAATGTATCTTGACGAAAGATTTAGGATCTCAAAGGCTGAACTTTACCTGAAGTCAGTTGATGGATTTGCTCCTTGCCAGCCCATATCTTTCCATTGCTCGGAGATCAAACTTTTCAGCTTAACATTTGGAAATGCCGCGTTCCATAAAGCTTGAAGAGCTTCCTGAAAATTGGAGTTAACTATTTGCTAAAATACATGTTACAACCAGAAAAACGTAAACAATATCATAATTTAAAAGACACGCAGGTACAGATTGAAACAAAATCCAGAAAGAAAATGCAGGGGTAACTAAGGTTTCCACTTTCTGATACGTCGCAGATAAACTAAGTTACTACTCTGATAGGTTAGCAGATACTGATAATATCATTAAGATTAAATGTGATAAAATAGTGATCTCAGTGCTTTGCAATGAAATTAGAGTGGCAGAATGTTTTAGTGACTTCTTACAAGATTTCAGTATATTGAATTAATGAGAGTGCCCGCATATGAAAACTTCAGATTTATTTCAAGAACTATTGCATAGCTTGTTTTGTTTGCAATATCACTAGTTATGTGAACATTTGTGGGCATGAAAACTTGTAACCAATAGTAGAACGCCAAGTAGACCGGATTAGATCTTCATAATTCCATAAACTGTTAAGGGAACATTATTACTGTATAATATATTTCTTTAATTATTATTCTGAAAAATATGTCCGTCTAGTTTCTGATATTCATACGAAGTACATACATATATTTTTTTTTATGTTGTTGATAAACTGTAAAACAAAAGGTAGATAATTTAGATCAATCAACAACAACAATAACAAACCCAGAGTAATCCCACAAGCAGGGTTTGGTGAGAGTAATGTGTACGCAGACCTTACTACCTTATGAAGATAGAGACGTCGTTTCCGATAGTCATATTTAGATCAATAAATATAGTATTCCAAGTCCCTTATAAAAATGCCTCTACATAACCGTAGCAACTTGCAATTTCATCATCCCCAAGATATTAGCATTTATAACTACGAACTGAAATTAGCATGGAAATGAAAATAGAACAAGCATTTTGGAAATACTTGATGATCTAGGCGTGTTTCATCAAAAGGTACTCCTAGCCGTTCTTGAAGCCTGCGTAATCTTTCTTCCTGGCAGAAGTTAAATATATATGAAAAGATCCACAATGATACGAAGGTATAAATTACAAAGAGAAGTAAGAAAAAGAACTTCCATAATAGTCTCAACAATTTCTACCAACAGAAAGAACCACTGCACAAAGGAACCGATTCAACGAGATAGGCTAAAAAAGAAGCCTATACAACTTGGATAGACATGAAATAGAGGTAAAGGTCAGATAAATTCGAAGTCCAACAATATGGTACTCAGGTTTACCTGATGAGGAGTTAAAGGGTAGTCAAGATATTTATCGCTTCCAAACCGTTTATTGCCCGAGCGGTTGAAGATTCCTCCTATCCATGCTCGTGGTCCAACCATAGCATTAGCTACAGCCATCAAAATCCGATAAGTGAAATGAACAAATAACACTAGAAACGTTTATACTAGTCGCTTAACATATGAAGTAAAGGAAACAACAGCCCCAACAAAAAAGAATCAAAGAAGTGCTTCTTGAAGTTTTGCATTGAAGTCTTTCTTTTTCGCTATTCTTTGCATTGTTCTTCCGACAATTTGCACCATGCACTAGTCTATGATGCACCATGCTTATCCTAATTAGGCCGTACAATTGTCCGGTTTGGCTTACACAGCCTCTAAACATAAAATATGAAGACTTCTTTCTGGATAGTAATACTGTTGATGAAAGATGTTCAGGCTCACATATATATTGCAAAAAAAGAGATTTGACATCTAGAGTATTTTGTCATACAAAAATTTTCAAAACACGGCTGGTTAGGAATAACAGTTTCCAACTTTCCATTTAGACAATCCCAAAATTTTGCAATGTAAAAGAAGTACAAACATCGTAAAACAACATATTTCCTGTATTGAAGAAGAAGAAGAAGAAGAAGAAAGATTTGAAAGGCTAAAATACACTACCTAGGAGAAAATTTCTGAAATGTAGGCAAAAATAATACGGATGCAGCGACCTTTAATGAAATTATTAATTAGAAGAATAACTTGAACTCACTAAAGCACTGAGCTAACTGTGAAATTACGTGAGGAGAATTATGTGACCATGCTGGCTCCTCATCTAGCCTCTTTCCGTGCCAATTACTTTCATCTTCATCAGCCTGAATATCATAAGTTCTGTGAGATAAAATTACGAGCAGAAGTGTACCCTGCTTTATTATAAATTGCTAAGGAACCCAATTACACAATGAAATGAAAATGTTACAGCATTCAAGTTTATGAAGTTTAAACAAGAAGGGCAGGAGGATATTGCTATCAATGACTTGCCTGACTGTCCTAGTACCTTCCCCCCCAAACCTAAAGAGCACGAGCCCTTAACGAAGGACTCACGAACCATCCCTTGTCACAAGTGGATATATCAGCAATGTAGCTAGTATCGCAACATTGTTTAACTGGTCTAGCTGAGGCATTCAATGCGAAATAAAAAGATCAAAAAGAGAAAAAAGATAGCAACACGAAGAAAGATAAAAGTAATTTAAAGAGGGTCATTGGCATCACTTCACGAGTCTGAGTCTATAAAGACTGAAGGTTAATTCCAGTTGCTGCGCGTGAAAAGGGTTTGGTTAAAGATAATTACGTAAACGGATCGCAATATGGCATGAGGACATTGAGACAAGCTAAAGCCACTGCAAGCTGAATTTATTTCTAAAAGTTAGTCAAATTGAAATGAGATTACGACTCAGCATTTGATATACCGTTTCTTTGCTCTAAATCAACTCCTTTGGTAGAGTTCAGCGCAAAGGATTTGACTTAATATCACAGGCAATTAGCCAAATAGATTAATTGAGTCCCCACATTAGACAGGTAAATTCCAGAAAGACGAAAGTTACTCTTTCCCAGCATAGAATGCACTCAAAAAAACAACAGATGCATGAAGGTGCATACAGCTCGTAGCAGAGTGCAGCAGAGAAATTCAAACAACAACTTCAAGAAAATTGCAAGTTAATGCTTTTCTCATCACCCCCTACTATTCATGATGATAAATTAATCATCCATCATCTAGCTTAGGATCTACATCTTATTAAATCTAATAGAATGACCTACGTTTGCCTACAGTCAAGGTAGCTCAAGTTCGAATAATTATGTTTTATAACCGAGAAATCCACGAGGACCAGTGGGGCACGGTACGAAACTCGATAAATATTAGGCCAGTATCTTGCCTATAAAAGGACAGCCCAGTGCACAAAGCATCCCCTATTCATGCAGGATCCAAGGGCCGTACCTCAAAGGATATGATGTAGACAACTTATCTTGGTTGCTTCCACGACTCGAACCCATGACCTATAGGTCACACAGAAACAACTTTACCGTTGCTCCAAGGCTTCCCTTCAAGTATCTTGCCTATGAATAACCAAAATAACCCACATTGTTCAAAAATGGCAGTTTTGAACTGATAAAACCTATTGTTCAGTCCATTAACCATACTTGCATTCACTAATAGAAACTACGACACCTCAATCCCAAACATGTCGGGATCCACTAATATGAATCATCAACATCCATTTTTACTCAATTTGACCCTCTGCCTTCAACTATACTTGCATTCGACTAAGCTAATTAACCAAAATTTCAGCAAAGTAAAAGGATACACAATTACCAAGAGATGAAACTAGAAGAATGTGGAAGAAAGAAGCTTACTTTGTGATGGGAGGAGGCACAAGAAAGGATGCATTGACTACGCCTTAATCTCATTAGAAAGAAGAAGAAAATGTTGGGAGGATCAAATTTTCACAATGTTTCAAACAGAAACCAAAAGGGTAAACAGAATAATAATCAACAGTTGTTCAAATCATGATTACAGCAACACCATGCTTTCTTAAAATTCAAACTATCATCATTTTAATTTTCACTCTTACTTCTACCCTCCAAAATCCTGTAATCCCAATAAGGAAAGTTGGAGATTAACACCGCAATTAAAGGGAACTTTTGTTTAATGGACTTAATTACAGGTGCACAGGAATGGGAAAAGTTTCTTTTTTCTTTCTAAAAGGTAATAGAAAGATTAATTCTTTTTTACATCCAACCATGCCATATCATTACATAAGACAAAAAGAATAAAAGAACACCTCAAATAAACATAAAGTATACACCATTAATTTGCAAACTGCATGCAGATACAAAAATACAAAAAAAGGTATCACCTTTAATTGGCATATAATAAGAGAAATTCATGTTCTTGATTCAATAGAATGGTGAACATTTGCATGCGTACAATTAAAAAAAAAGTACCTTATTTTATGGCATAGAAGAAGATAAATCACATGTTCTTGACTCAACTACTGAGATGGCAGAAACCACAATGGTGGAAGAAGAAGAAGAAGAAGAAGAAAAGAGGAAAAATGGAGAAATGTGACAGATTCTTGGGTTCCATAGCCATTAACCAGCCATGTTGCTAAAACACCGCCTAATTTGTAGCCATATTTAGCTATTTTTGCATATTATAATCATTTGGACCCGTCTTAGCTGATCTTTTTGTTTTTTTTTTTGTTTTTTTTTCTTTTTTGGGAAATTTGTTTGTTCAAAAACAGATTTAAGATTAAAGATATATAATATGACACTATTAGGTGAAATTTTTGCCGACTGTCTCCTTTTTTATATCAACTTTTTAATAAATGATTTCTTTTATTTCTTTTGCAGTTAATGGACCTTTTTAGATAATGGTTAAAAACTTTTTTTTAACAAATTGAAAATCTTATGAGAAATTGATAGATTATGGTTTAAAATTTTATAAGTTATTGCAAACGTTAGATCACTAACATAATCTGTGAGTAAACCAAAAAATTAACTAAGCAAACATTATCTCGAATCTAATGTTATCCGGAAAATGTCATTTTTCAAGAGATATATTTATACAACTTCTTAAAATAGGGACAAGATGTAAAAGTGACCTAAAAGAGGAATATTTGCATAAATTAGCCAGGTGGTGCATATTGCTTGTTTTGTTTTTCTCAACTACCAATTCACGCTTAACATAAATAGTGATAATTGGTGAAAGTCCATGTTTTTGGGTGTTCTTATGTCCCGTGTTTTTTTTTATGATTTCATGAAGATTGCGGGACTGTTGGATGAATTTATGCTCATTACGTGTTTTTCATGTGAAAAAATATATTTGGATGAAAGTTGATGAAAAAAAAAAGTGATTTAGCACGAAATGACACATGAAAAGACGAAGAAAAGAAAAATGAAGATGGCTCGTTCAAAGCTCGTGCTTCGCGGGAGAGGTGCACGAGCTAAGGGAATTGGCAGCGAAACAAAACAGTAAACTTGAGGGCAGCATGGACGAGCGAGAGAAAAAGAAGAAAAAATGGAATTGGGAGCCCGTCCAGGGGCATGCCTCATACGATCCCCTGACACGGATTTCAGCTCTTTTTTCAGCTTTTTTAAGCTGACTTGGAATTGAAAGAAAACATTTCCTACACCTCTTGGTCGTGTAGAGCTAAACTTCATGATCTAGAGTTTTGGCTCTTTCATGATTATTATTGTTTGAATACTGATTTTGATTTCTAGTCTACCATATTAATTTTTTTAATCAATCATGTGCTTAATTATTTAATTGTTTAATCACCAATCGTGTAACAACCTGACCGGTCGTTTTGAGAATTTAAGTTTCATTCAGCAACATGAGATCTTGAGTAGCTTCGTATTATGTGTATTGACTTGCGTGCATGGTCAAATTCAGTTACCGGATGATTCAGAGTCCAATTGGAAAAAAGATTTCAGTTTTGGAAGCTTAAGCAGGTGTGAGTTGACCGGAATTTTTGACTTTTGTGTAAACCACTCCGGAATGAGTTTTGGATGAACTCAACAGCTTCGTATGGTGATTTTTGGCTTAGGCGTGCGCCCGGATTTGGAGGTCCATAGGATAATTTGGAGCATTTCGGCAAAAGTTGAAAAAGTTGAAGTTTGGAAAATGGAAAAGTTTGACCAAAAGTTGACTTTTATGATATTGGGCTCAGAATGCGATTTCGAGAGTTGGAACAGCTCCGTTATATCACTTGGGACTTGTCTGCAAAATTTGGCGTCGTTTCGGGTTGATTTGATAGGTTTTGGCATGAGTTCTAGAAGTTAGAAGATTTGAAAGTTCATAAATTCAATTCATGGCGCGATTTGTTTTTTTCCGGCGTTGTTTGATGTGATTTGAGACCTCGAGAAAGTCCGTGTTAGGTTATGGGACTTGATGGTATGCTTAGACGGGGTCCTGGTGGCCCCGGGCGTGTTTCAGACGAGTTTCAGATATTTTTTTTATAGTTTTGAACAAATCTGGTTCTAGTGTTTTCGCACCTGCGACCATGGAGCGCAGGTGCGGCTCCGCATCTGCGTGAGCCTGGTCGCTTCTGTGATCCTTGAGGCATGGGAGATCGCTCGCTTCTGCGGAGGCCTGCATGCAGGTGTAGAGACCGCTTTTGCGGTCCAGCGATCGCACCTGCGAAGAAGCTCGCTTCTGCGTCCCCCTTTGCGCTTCTGCGTTGCCGCTAGCTATCAGAGTTCTCAAATGCGTATGCGCAGGTGTGCATCATTGTCCGCAAATGCGAAACTCCTGGGCAGAATCATATAAGTCGAAGGTTTGGTCATTTTCTTCATATTTTGAGTTTTAGACCTCGGTTTTTGGAGCTTCTTTGTGAATTTTTCAAGCAAATCGATTGGGTAAGTGTTCTTCACCTAGAATTTATTATATTCCATGATTTTATCTTTATTTTTATCATTTAATTTGTGTTTTGCGTTGGGGAAAATGAAGGTTTTTGAAGAAAATTTCCAAAATGAAAAATCATGAGTTGAAGGACGAAATAGTATCGGAATTTGATAATTTTTGTATGGATGAACTCGTATCAGAATGGGTGTTCGAGTTTTATAAAATTTGTCAGGTTCCAAGGTGCGGACTCAGGGGTTGACTTTTGAGTCGATTTTTAGATTATAATAAAGATTGAGACTTTATGATCCGGAATAGTTTCTTATGAGTTTTATTTATGTTTTGAAGTTATTTTGGCTAGATTTGAGTTGTCCGGAGGTTATTTCACCCGAGAAGTTCATTTTAGAGTATCGGTTTGTCTTCTTTGAGGTAAGTATCTTGCCTAACCTTGTGTGGGGGATTTTCCCTTAGGATTTGAGTTTTCTATGCTAATTGTAGTCCGTGTACGCGAGGTGACGAGTGCGTGCTCGAACTTATTTAAGGAAAGTTGGCCTTTTAGAGTTTTTAGGTCCTCATATTCACTGAGTATGAAGTTGTTCTTGATATGATTGAGTTTCCTATTTATTAGTTTTACCTCTACATGCTTGGAATTAATTGCTTTATGATTCACTCTTATTGCCTATTTGACTCTTATTTGACTTAACTGGGGATTTTTACCTTTGCTATTGTCATGCTATCTTTTCATAACTGCTTATCTTTATTTGAAATTATTATTATCTCATCCTATAATTGTTTAGTCTTAAAATTAGGTTATGATTATCTTCCCGCCGCTTATCCTTAATTGAATTTGTTGTATATTCTCGGTAATTGTCCAACCTTAAAAGAAGTTTAGATATCCTATATTTTAGTTGACATGTCCTTATTTGGAATTATTCGACTTCTGTTAGCTCCTTTGTTGTTGAACTGTATATCGTGGGATCGTTGTTACATATTATCTCCTCCCTTTTTGAGATGTTCTTATTACGCTTAGTATTCTCTATTGTGGTCATTCCTTATGAACTAGTTCTACCATTTTTTTGTGATCGAAAGTTCTTGAATTGATTTGCTTATCGTACTCTCGTATTTATTGTCATTGTTACCGTTGTATTTGTTATTGTGTTGCACGAGGTTTCTGTCGTGCTATTGTTACTGTTGATATTTGCNGGGTTGCACATGTGGCAAGACAAGGTGAGAACATTATAATGCACATGTGACGAGACAAGGCGGGCACTTACTATATTATTATTGCACACATAGCGAGACAGGAGGGCTTATGTCAGTGATTGGTTTGTGATAATTTGTGATGGCCTGGGGGAATTCCTGTTGTTGATATTTGTATAGTGGTACACCTACCTGTGTGAGCTTTAACTTGTGAAGTTGTGAGAAAACATTTTACGTGTTGTCCGTTCTTTTCCTTATGCTTACTAGCTGGTATGAATTATGTTAGGACACTTGCACAAGCATACACATAGTTAAACACTCTTATCGGATAAGACGTCTTCTTGAAATTATTGAGTATAGATGCACACCCTTGTTTACTTGCCTTCTATGTGAGAATGGCTCTATTTGGCATGTGAGCCGTTAGTGCGGTTATGAAATGTAAAGAGGGCACAAGATGCCAAATGTTAGGGTTCAGGTATTGAGACTCGTGAGTTGTGATTTGTCCAAAGTTCGGTACCTCGTGGAGTTATTGACTAAAACCTAATGTGAAAGCGGTCGTAGTTGCTAAGTTATTACTTGTCCTTGCTCTATCTGTAATTTCGGATTTAGGCTGTGTTTCCACTCAAGCTTCTGTGTCATTATTATGGTATTCTGCTGTTACTTGCCGTTTCCTTTCTCATTGGAATTACTGTATTGTTAGCGATATCACATAATCTTTATGTAGATATCATACTTTGTTGCTCTTATACTTATACTTAATCAGGTTATTGGACCAGTAGGTGTCTTGACTATTCCTCGTCACTACTCCATTGAGGTTAGTCTTGATACTTAATGGGCACCGCTGTGGTGTGCTCATACTACGTTTCTGCATTTTTTGTGTGCATATCCAGGTATTAGATCGTTAGTAGCTGTGCGAATTCTTGTTGAGGAGACTCAAGGTAAACCTGCTGCTGTGTTTGTAGGCTTCAGAATCACCTTCCTATTTTGTACTTACACTGTTTTTACATATTTTCAAACAGTTGTATTTAGAAGTTGTAGCAAACTCTATAGAGCTTATGACTTGTACCACCGATTTTGAGAATTTTAAATTTTAAAAGAGATTTCTTTCAATTTGTTAGATGTCATTTAAATAATGTTGTTGTTTCATTAAATGTGAGGTTTACCTAGTCCCTAAGACTAGGTGCCATCAAGATATCCAACGGAGGAAAAATTGGGTCTTGACAAATCAAATACTATCTACAAATCTAGGGCTGAACTCATGAGTGAGAATTCTAGATTGCAAATAAGATTGAGTAGAGTTTGCTTCTGAAGCTGTGGTTAATGGAATAGTTTCGCGGTTAGGATAGGAATATACCTAACAATCTTTCTTAGTTGAATGCCATGTTCCTTATTCATTCATGATAGATTTAAACCATAGGAATATATGGTTGATATATGATGGAAATAGTATTGTGAGAATACGCTATACATATAAACCATTCGGTCAACTAGTAAATTAGATAGATTAAGAAGTTAAATCAATTAAAGAATACGGTAGGATTGTTAGATAGCCCATAACCATAGATCGTTTTCATTACATTGATAATATAAGAATCTCCTCTTCCTCTTATTTTTTTATTGTGGTTAATTAGATTCAAATACTTTTAGGTTTAATTCTTGTTTAGATAATTAGGATAGTTTAATCTAGTTATTGGTTAAATCATAAATCCTCATGGATTTGATATTCTATCTCATTACTTTATTACTTGACGATTGCGTATACTTACATGTCCGTTTGGTCGCAACAAATAATCACTATACTTAATTT